TAAGTCCATCCGCATTCTCTTATCTATTGTGGCTGCTCTCGACTATGAGATATGACAAATGGATGTCAAGTTCTTGAACGACCATCTTGAGGAAAGTATCTGTATGGTATAGCCAGACGGCTTTGCTATAATCCATTTATGGATTAAAGCAAACTTCATGTTCTTGGAACAAAAGACTTGACCAAGTAATGAAGACTTTTGAATTCTAACAAATATGGATGAACCTTGCGTTTATAAGCATATTCAAGATGAGAAAGTGGTTTTTCTAATATTATATGTTGTTGACATTCTACTCATTGGCAATGATGTACGGGCTTTGTCATCAGTCAAATTTTGGCTTACCAAACAGTTTGACATGAAGGACTTAGGAGAAGCTAATTATGTTATGGGCATTCAGATCTTTAGAGATAGCTCTCTCTCAGGCTTCATACATAGATAAAATTTTCGAGAAGTATGCAATATAGAACTCTAAGAAAGGTAGGCAACCATCTAGGTCTAGAATTACTCTTTCGAACAGTGATTGTCCCAAGACATCTGAGGAAAGAGAATACACGACAAAGGTACCTTATGCTTCGGCGGTTGGCAGCCTCATGTATGTAATTTTTTTGTACTCGGCCGAACATTTGCCATGTGGTCAGTATTGTAAGTCGATAGATCAAAAGAAGCAGGGTGGCTCCGCAAATTTCTGATGGATCTTGAAGTAGCTTGGTGTGGATAAGCCATTGAGACTATACTGTGATAACAATGCGGCAATAGCTAACACCAAAGAACTAAGATATTAGAAAATGAGTAAGCACATACACAAGAAGAATTAAGTGATACAGAGCTTTATTGAAGAAGGGCATGTGGAAATATGCAAGATCGCGTTGGAGGACAATATGGATGACCCGTTCATGAAGTCCCTGCCGGCTAAGGCCTTTGAGAAGCATGTCGATGCTCTGGGGATGCAGAGCATGTCACATTTACTCACTTAAGTGCAAGTGGGAGATTGTTAGCGTTTGTATCCTTAGGAATAAATGTAATGATGTTCTTTGAGACATTTTGACTACTAATAAAGATTTATTTATTTCATATATCCATGTATAAAATAATTCTCTTTTGACAAATTATATGTGGTCATCTTAATCCTGAGATGAATAATTAACCTGTATGCTTGACTTGTATCCTTTGATGTACCAAAGGGAGACATCCTGACATTATGTAAAGGTACGCTTATCGGTACATTAGGAGTATGACTCGTGTATGCGTAGATTCATTATTCATAGATAGTGGAATCCACAGCTCCTATAAAGAGTCAATGATATCCTCTTATGCATTATCCGTGGATTAGAAAATACGAGCGCTTGGCCATTAGACTACTCTATGTTATCTAATGGTTTACTTTTTGTAATGGTACAAATAGTGGTTTTTCGATGGAGTGTTAATGGAACATAAGATAAATGTAATCGGAAAGGTAAAATGGAACATTACCTCAAATTGATTATGGATATCCTATGGGGATGATACACTAATAAATTAAGACATGGACGAGAGCTATCAGAGCTTTGTTTTAATTAAGAATTCTGTTTGTATAAAATAATTCACTTTTGATGAATTATATGTGGTCATCTTAATCCTGAGATGGATAATTAACCCGTATGCTTGACTTGTATCCTTTGATGTACCAAAGGGAGACATCCTGATATTATGTAAAGGTACGCTTACTGGTACATTAGGGGTATGACTCGTGTATATGTAGATTCGTTATTCATAGATAGTGGAATCCATAGCTCCTATAAAGAGTCAATGATATCCTTTTATGCATTATCCATGGATTGGAAAATACGAGCGCTCGGCCATTAGACTACTCTATGTTATCTAATGGTTTACTTTTTGTAATGGTACAAATAATGGTTTTCCAATTGAGTGGTAATGGAACATAAGATAAATGTAATCATGAAGGTAAAACGGAACATGACCTATTATATTGAGACATGGACGAGAGCTATTCAGAGCTTCATAAATGTGCTATAGAAATTGAGAGTGCAGCTCTAGGCTTTTAGTGGAGTAGCGCTAGAGTTTTATAATCATAAGACAGACTTATTGGTTTACAAATAGCGTTGTGATTATAGGAGCTTGATTTATATATGTCCATCGGGTCCCTTTTCTAGCTCACATAATTTCCTGTAACGATACGGTGTATTTTCTACATATTGGTAACTTGTGTTATTTTCGTAAGAGAGGTTCAAAGTTAATATGAGATCAGTCAATTAATTCATGAGTAATTTATCAGATGAATTAATTCTAGATAAATTGGTTGAATTAATGTTTGTGATTGTTTAATTCATAAGTAATTTATAGGTTGAATTAATTGATGAATGAATTCTAGATAAATTGGTTGAATTAATGTTTCGGGTTGTTTAATTCATAGTAATTTATGGATTAATTATTAAATTAATTTTAGATAAATATGTTGAATTATTATTTTGAGAGTTATTTAATATGGGAAGACTATTATATGAATGTTTTAATCAGGTAACTTTTCTGTTAGGTTGCTTGAATCAAAACTGAGGCTCTGTGTAAGTTTCCCGTGTTGAAAAACTAGGAAAATAAGTTTCCCAAGTTCAGACAGGTCGACCGGTCCGGTCGACCGGTTCATGAAGGACAGGTCGACTAATGAGTTATAACTTTTCTGTCACCGGTCGACCGGTTGTAACGCGTAGCGCGTGCTGACGTGGTGAAACTGACTCTGTAAGCAAGATAAACTTTAAGAAATCTAATTGTTACGGGTATATGACTTCTTAAACACTCTAAATAGCCCAGTAAGTCACATTATTCATTAGATCACTTGAGAGATTTTTTTAGGGCTATTGGTAAAAGATTCCTGAGAGGAAAAATTGTTTAATTCTCAAGAAAAAAATTTTCTTTGGCTCTCTTGTGGTTGGAAGGAGTTCAAGAATACCAAGGGGAGATTGAACAACGTGTGCCCACTCGCACTCCGGTCATGGAAACTAGAGTAGCAAAGAAGACTAGTTGGTTGAGGCGCTTCCGGACGCTGTTTGGAACGCTTTGATCTATCATACGTGTTGTTTCCTAAATCTCCAAATGTATGATTTAGATCTTTAGTATTATGTTATATAGTATCATGAACATGTTCTTGGTTGGTTTTGACATTGATTTAAATTTTTTAAAATTTCACTGTGCACTCGATACCGTATTTTTCAACATCAACGTGTTACCATTTCTCAAAATACCTCATTTTAAGAAAATGTCGCTTTAAACTCTTTTTTAGATTTCAATGATGTCAAATACGTTTTTATCTTTAAAACGTTTTCATAAGCCAAAACCATTTAAAATTGGCTCACAAGGATGTGGACAAGAACATCCCACCTCTCGGATACCAATTTTATGGATAACTTCACGTTGTCCTAGTCCCAATTGTCTTTGAAGCTCAATATTCGATCCCGCCCCTAGCTTTGTCATAAAAAACCATAGTTTCAAGTTTAACCCTTTCCTCTAAACATTCTAGCTTAATCATGCACATTTGTACCATACTAGTGTGCCTTGATTCAAAATCAAAGTTCATAAACAATTTCTTAATTCAAATTGTGGTTCGTTGAGAATCAGAATTCAAACAAGATAATTGGTGGAAAATAAGGATTAATGTGGCTAATCCACTCACTTTGAGTTTTCAAATGAGTTGAGTTGGTTCCCCACTGAAATTTAGGGTCAAAACAGGGTTTTTGAACACTTTAGGGTCAAAATTAAGGCGCACCGGTTGACCGGTAACAGAGAGGTGTAACTCCATCGGTCGGCTGGTGGAGTGATGACCGGTCGACCGCCCCGGTCGACCGGTGGGAAGGTTGCAGGCCAACCAAAATGGCGAGCCACGAGGAGAAAGACCAAAACCTGCATTTTTAGGTCCGATTTTGAGATATTTTCATGGGAAATCAACAAAAACAGATTCGATTTACCAAATAAAGTCTAAAGAATCAAAAACCCCCAATTTCTATCATGGTTTCAACCAAAAGCCCATTCAAAAATCAAACCAAAACCAAGAAATCACCAAACTCAACCAAAATGAGTTCCAACAAAGCAAGATCTGAAAATTTAAAGTGAGTTTTCAAAGATTTTACCTTGATCTTTGCTTTGATGTTGAAAACTTCTTAAAAATCTCCTTTTTGTTTCAGATCAAGTTCAAAAGCTTCTTAGAGAGAGGGAAAACTTTGGCAGAAAGAGAGGGAGAAAGAGTGAGATGCGAGAGAGAGGGAGAAAGAGTGAGATGCGACAGAGAGAGAGATAGAGAGCTGTCTAAGAGAGACGAGAGAGTCTATGAGAGAGAGAGATGATAGAAAGCGAGAGAGTGCTGCGTAAGGGAGAGAAAAGAAAAGGGAAAATGAAAAGATAAAGAGAGAGAGAGAAAAATAAAGATAACAGTGAAAGATATTTTAAAGAATAGGTAAGAAATGTGTTTTCACACATTTCTAGGATGGAATTGTAAACACTGAAAATAAATTAAAATTTATTGATTAATTAAGAAAATTAAATTAGGCACACTAATAAGGATTTTTGTATATCAACATTGACCTATTGAATTTTGCATATTTGGAGTAAGTAATTTGACAGATTATTATCGATAATTTGACAGATGTCGTCAGCGGCGGGTCTCCATTCGCTTGTGACGGACGTAATTTAACAGTTTATTGTCTTAATTTTAATAAATTATTATTTATAATTTAACAGATTATTATTAAAAGGATAACTTATCACAATAAAAAGATATAATTTATGTGTTTAAGAGTTTGTAATTTTCTCACGTGGAAAGGCATGTGAGCCCAGCCCAAAAAGTTTCTGACATGAGCGCAGCAGATCCAAGTGAGCAAATCACAGACAACCGTTGATCAGCGGCCCAAAGTGAAGCACCCTAAAATGTCTCTGCGCGTTATCTACGGTCATCACAAAACGCAGTCAATCTCAACCACTAGATAGACTATTTTAATTCCGAGCAGTGCACTCTCACGGTCGATCTTGCATACTAACGTCCGCGATGGCAGGGAACTTTTTCCAACTGCATAATCCCTCTCTCTCTCTCTCGCGTTCTCTCTCTCTCTCTCTCGCTCTCGTCCGTAGCCCGATTCAGTGACTGCATCGAGGTTCCTCTGCAACATCTTCCCATGGTACGCAATCGACCTTCTTCTTAGCATAAATTTCTTGCGTATCATTCTCATATAGAACTAATAAAATAACGAAAATAATAAAAATAAAAATAAAATCTCAGCCCTTCGCGAGCTCAGATAGATCTCATCAGTACGAGCAACGTCGCGAGCGGATTTCAAGAGACTCCATGTTTGGTTTTGCTGTTTGTAATTTTTGTTTGGAGTTGTAATTGGGCTGACCATAAGTTGGGATTTTTTTTCCTTTTGGGTGGTGGAAAAACCTAGTCTTCGAGGAGATGTGAACGTTGTTTCTGTCGTAATCGTTCATTTCCCTTTGCTTCAATGACGGGATTTTATAGATTTGTGGGGGGAAATCCAAGTCTTTGAAATTTTTATCTGAAGTTTAGTTTATGAAAGAGAAATTAGTTTGTGGCATTCGTTTTATTGTGGAATTTGTTTGATTTTTGACAATTGCCATTGTGATTTTTGGTTGACATTAATTGCTTTTGTGATTAGTCTGTGTGTTTAGCTATTTGTGAAATTTTTTTGTTAATTATTGTGATTAGTCTGTGTGTTTAGCTATTTGTGAAATTTTTTGTTGATTATTTTAGTATTTTTGCAAGATTGATATTTGTTTGGTTAATTCGGCATTTGTTGTGAATTGGATTGTGTGATTTGTTTGATATCGTTAGAAGTTCATATTTGTGACATTTCTTTGAGATTTGTGAAATTAGCTTGAAATTTGTTTGAAATTGGTATAATTATGGCGTTATAAAATGTTTGGTGTTTTTTTTTTTTTTAAATGATTTTTTGTTGATATCAGAATTGCAAGCAATATGGCCTCAAATATTAGACTCTAATTTTTATCGTCATATTATGACTTATTTTGGCCTATGTAATTTTTGTCTATACAATCCGACTTATTTTGGACTATATAACTGTTATATTGATGTTGTGACTTACTTTGCACTATATAACCGTTATTGATGTTATGACTTCACCTTGATTAGACAAAACGCTTTGGTTCCTGCATCAGTTAGAGAGAAGAAGAGGAGAATCCAGAGAGATCGAGATAAAGCCCTGAACTTGCAAATCGTTTGTTTGGAATCAAATGGCAGCTCTGCAGAAAGTTCGCACAGCATCGAAGGCCATCGTTAGCTATGTCATTTGCCCCTCTGGTTTGACCGCCGGCCGTATTATCACTCCTGGTATATTCTTCTCTCTCTCATTTTGTTCTGTTTCCAATTCAATTATCATTACTTTAATGGTGAAACGGATAGAATAACAGTTTGGTTTAGTTTAATTTTTCCAAGGAGAGAGGCGGGATGCCAATTTTTCTGCGTTACAACTTCATCTTGATTGTGAATTGTATGTTTGTACCGAAAATTCTGTGGAAAAGAAAAGGAATTGTGAATTAAGAATACTTAGGAGTGAAGAACGAGCCAAAAAACCTTAAATTACATAAAAGTTCACTTGAAAGCAACCTTTTTTTTTATTATTTTTGCGCGAGAAAAACCTTAACTTTCAGGTAAAGTTTGCTGAAAAATTTGTATAAAGGGTTAAAAGAAGGATCTTTTTGTTGCCAGCTAGACGGAGATTTGTAATTTGATAAATTATGACAGGTTTAACCTAGTCGTTGAGTTGGTTTTGGCTATTAGGAAGCCTTTATCCGAAGACGGTGTCTTTTTTAGTATATATATTTGGTTTTGCAAAGATTATACGACAAGGGTTATTTATAATTTTCAAATCCAGCATGAGCTTTGTTGTTTTCTTGAGATTTACCAGTGAATTGTACGCCTTACCATTCTTGTTTTGATGTTTCTGCAGATGTGGCTGAAAAAGGCGCTAGTTCATCGCGCAGCAGTATGATGAACCAGTTGCTTCACATGGATATAAATTCCATGATTGGGAGTTGCATGCCTCTTTCTTCAATGCGCATCGGAACAATTGTCCACAACATCGAGGTGAACCCGGGTCAAGGTGGCAAGCTTGTTCGAGCAGCGGGAACCGGAGCGAAGATCCTAAAGGAACCCTCGGCAACCAAATGTCTAGTGAGACTGCCTTCGGGTGCCGAAAAGTGGATTGATTCCAGCTGCAGGGCCACAATCGGAGTGGTGTCTAATCCTAAACACGGGGCTAAGAAGCTCAGGAAGGCGGGGCAAAGCCGGTGGTTGGGAATAAGGCCAACTGTTCGAGGAGTGGCAATGAATCCGGTTGACCATCCTCATGGTGGAGGTGAGGGTCGGAGCAAGAGTGGTGGGAATTTGGGAAGGACTTCTCAAACACCTTGGGGCAAGCCATGCAAGTCGGGATACAAAACTGGACCTCTCAAGCGCAGAAAGTAGAGTTTGGTCGCGGTCTTTGTTTTTTGCCTCCACTATGGAGTTTAACTTCTTGAGAATTAGCAGCATTAATAATTTCTACTTGAATCTTTGCCTCAGCTTTTTTGTCGCAAGAAACTCTTTTCTTGATTCGGTTGTGTTGTTTTTTCATTTTTGATTCCTAGTTGTACGAACTTTTGGGAAGACATGTTGTCGAGCTTCTAGGTGGATCAATTTCATGGCTTGCATTCATTTCAACCGGGTAAGTTGAAGACTTGAGGTAAATGCGCTCTTTTGCTTGAATGTAGAGATACCTTGCACATCTTTTTCATTTGAAAATTCCACCTAAACCATAACCATATGGCCGATACCCATGCCGCCATACAAAATTCAAAGTTTCGTATTTATTTTATTCTTTATTTTATGGATATGAAAGAGTTGGTCTTCGGTAGATGGTGGCATTCGCCAATTTTTTGTGAACTTTGGTAGAAAGTGCACTGAAATGTAGTCCATAGTTTTTGATATCCGGTTCCTCCTTTCTATCGTTTTGTTGTGTTCGGTTAGTTTATCTGCCTTTATATATGCACCCACAAATTCATTAATACCCCCACTAATTCATAATTTATATTTATTATAATTTTAACCTACACTAAAATTACATTAAAATCCATTAACATACCCGACCTTAATTATAAGTAAAAGTAATATTTTTTCGAAGAAATAATAGAACATACGCCCAAATCAACTATAAGAAAGAGTATTTTTTTCAAGAGAATAAAAAACATACCCTCATATTTTGTTTTACACTAAACCAAAATCAATCTAAAAATAAGAAATGAAGAACAAGTCTTTATTAATTTTGCCTATTAGCAATATGATTAGGTAAAGCAATCAAAGGAGCTGCATTGTAAATTGTGCGAATCAACTCGGAGAGCATACCCTCATATTTCAGGTTAAACCTAATTTCATCTTCATAAACTCTAAAGTTTTCTCTATCAAATTCTTTAAAAATTTCATATGGAGATTCTAATTGGGCCTTTATATGCATCAACATCATTATGTATATGGTTCTTTTTAATGGAATCTAGTTGCTTTTGAGTTATGGAAGTTTTGTTCTTATTTAATGGACATCATCTAAAAATAAGAAAAAAGGAATAGGAGGTAAGACGAAGACAATTGATAAATAAAAGTAAAGAGAATTGCAATAATTTTTAAAATATATATATATATATATATGAAATTAATAGTTGAAAGGATTATATTATTTTATAAATTAAGATTAAGATTAAAATTAGGTAGGGGTATAAAAGGGTTAATTTAGGTATTATAAAAATTATAAATATAAAAGGATAGATTTTTTAAATCTTTATTAGATTAGTATTAGGCTTCGTTCAGTTCGCGGATTCGAGTTGAGATGTAATTTTATATAAGAGCTTTTTACTGTAGTAGAAAATTAGATGTGACTTTTTATGAGAGTTTTTATGAGAGTTTTAACTGTAGCAAAGTTGGAATTGAAAACCCGAATTGATGAAATGAACCTCAATTAGTGAGGATATCTATGAATTTTTTGAGTGCAAATATAACTACTCTTTTACATTTCATGAAAAGTATCATTTTCTAGATCTGTTAGATTTCATTTCATTAAAGTGACAGAGATGGTCGATTTTTTTGAGTCCTTTAGTTTTCCTTTCACTAAGGTGCTTCTTCATCTCAGAAACTAGACAGAGCATATGATTGGATGAATTTGATATCCGTATCTCAGTTTGCTTCATCTCATTTTCATATTTCAATACAATCGTATGTAAACTTGGGAAACTGATGAAATGCAATCAAATGTGGCTCAAAATTCTAAGATTGTTGTTGACATTTATTCTGATACATAGTGAAAATAACTATGGAAGTTGGAAAACCAACTGGAGCTCAATGTCTTGCATGAAAAAAAATGAAGTTATGGCAAAAGAAGTGGCAGTAATAAAATCCGTTCCATGGATAACGCATTCCCCTCATGAGAGGACTTTCAGAACTTTAGTAGTGACCTCTTTTGGAGGTTTCTCTGCGTGCAATTGGGCAAGTACACCCTTTTTGGCATAGGAACTGATGACCTGAAGTTCAAAGAGTCATACAAAAAGATCAGAATACTTGCAAAAATAAACAAACATCAAACGGAGAATGTAAAATGGTGAAACTAAGATCTCAAAAAAGGTGGGTAGAATACTAATCGTGGTACCCCTGGATTAACCCTATTTCTTTTTCTACTTCTATCATGTTTTTGAGCAATTAAAATCCCTGCTTCTTTTAGAACATAAGCACAAATGTTTCTAAGCCAAATTATTAGAATAATTTAAAATCAGTCAGAGTTGCAAAATTGATGAGTAGGCCTAGAAATGCAACTGTCAAATGTTAAAAAGATTATGCAATCTAAACAGGTGCAAAGTTCATTTCCAGCATAAAAAGGAAAAAAAAAAAAAAGTGAGTTCACAACAGCTAGATGAGAATGCCGTCCAGTTTGCTATTGTCACTGTAATACCATGTATAATTGCTTACTGCTTAAAGAATTAGGCATGCCGCATCTGTTTGTCTGTGAAATGCTTCAAGCCTGGACTTGATAACTTCTGCGGTATCATCTTTTCGCTGAATTAGAGGCTCTCATGTGACCTTAAGCCAATGCCAGAAAGGAAGTAAGAATCTTGAATAGAAGATGCACGGAAAATTTTGATGCCATTGTTTTATTCATGCCTCGAGAGTTTTCTAGCAGTTTAATATTGAGATTGTAAACGGACCTCATTTATAGATTATGGATCATCAGAGCATATGTCATAAACAAATTTCAGATGGATTCGATTCAGGATCTTTCTTGGTAGATTGGTCCTGAAATATTACTCAGCGCGAAAACTATATCAAGTTGATGAGCTTAGTTCAGTTTATCACTTCAAGCTTCAACTTTAACATTATTGAGACTATCAAATTGTAAATCTAGAGAATCTATAATCAGGAGCAGAGCCACGTAGTCGACTGTAGGCGGCTGCCCCATTTGGATATTTGTTTTCTTTTTAGTTTTATACATGAGATCTGATAAAATTTGTAGTTTTACTCCTTTATGAAATTCTATGCTTGCCTCACTTTATAAATAGGAGAAAAAGAGGAAAATAGGCCAAGACTTGAGATGAATTAAAATTAATAGGCCAATAGTTTACATAAGTTAATAAATATGCCAGATTATTATTTTCGTCCATAACTTGTCCGTTATGAACCATAACTTGACAAGTTATTCCCGGTTTTTGTCCATAACTTGTTTGGCTATGAACCATAACTTGACAAGTTTGTCCATAACTTATCTGGTTATGAACTATAACTTGACATCTTCAACACCAGCAACTTTTGTGTATCCATCGACCGGTGATCCTCTCCTCCAATATGGAATTATCAATTGCAAAATCGAGAACCTTGTCAATTTTGGCTTTGGCTCCTTGCTTTTCAAGGATCTCATCTAGCTGTCATTCAATGAAAAGAAACACATGAGAAGTCAACTTTGAGAAGAGCAAAAGCCTGAAACACATCAAGGCAATGGAAACAAAGTTATGGAAGCATAAGGGGACCTTTTGAGCTTGGGCAACGGTCCTTGGAAAACCATCCAGGATAAAACCTTTTTGACATGACGGTTTTTTCATGGCTTCATCAATTATACCAACAACCAAGTCATCAGTTACAAGTTTTCCCTGCCAAACCAATTTGATAGGATATAGAATCAAAGGCATTTAGCAGCAACAGCAGCTCTCAGCATGTCACCAGTGGCTAAATGGCACAAGCAATACTCTTCCTTGATAATGGGAGACTGTGCACCTTTTCCAGAACCAGGTGGGCCTGCCATTTATCTAGTATCTCATAAAATGCATATTGTACTTGATACCAATTTTTCCTTGTAAACTAAGCACACAATGTATTGTTTTCTGTATATATCAGTTATTTAACTGGCTAAATTGGATGTATTATTTTAAGGCATAAGGCTCTCCCTTCAAAGAGACTAAACCCAAAAACTTTAAAGACCATAGAACAGATTGTGTTTGGGTCAAAGTCTAAGAAAAATACAGGGAGACACATTCCATTTTCCCAAACTCTACATTCCATACTGAAAAGCAACATACTTTTTTGTCTGCTACTTATCATTACAGAATGGCCATATCAAACACACCCTTTTATCATTCAAACCTCAGAAAAGCCAAACAATAAACGATCTCTCAAAAGACAAAAAAAGTAATACCGATGAGAATGAGATGCTTATCGGGTTTGGAGGAGCACTTGAAGCGGCCTAGGAGTTCGCTCATTATGTCAACGGAAGGAACGTCCTCCATAGCAACTGCAGAGCTCCCCATTCTCTTTTCTGTTCTTTTCTCTCATTCAGTGCTTGCTCTTCTATAGCACAATGGCTATACCTGCAATGTTAAAATGGACATGGAATGAAGACAGAAATGTATTTGTAGTATTCAGAGATTCAAACCATGAAACCAACCTTGGTGGTAGGTGTAGAATCTCATTTTGTGTCTGATAAAAAGAGTAGACTCAAAAGGGGTGTTGCACCTTCTACTAGTTAGTAGTACTATAATGTATCTATATCATCACATTGAACAATAAGCAGTTTCCTTTTTAATGTTTTTATGCAGTATAATTACATTTCATACTACTATTTTTATTGTCTGAAAGTATAAACTAGAAATTAAATGAAAATAATCGATGGTTTGCCTTTGTGTTTATTGCATCGTTTGGTGCTCCTTGGCGTTTCCTTTTTACAAAAGAATAGACTTACCCTCAAATTTGTTTAAAATATATGATAACTTATAACAAATATAACATATAATAAAATTTCAGAAGCATATTTTATGGATACGTGCTTACTAGATTTTTTCTTTTCCTAAATAAGGATGTCATATCTTTCCTTTGGAATAAGAAAGATGATGACGTCAAATTAACCTTTCTTTCATTGAGTATGTACGGTTGACTCTTATAACATCTCATGAGTATCTCACCGTCTAAAATAATAAAAATAAAAATAAATCTATCAACCTGAAATACTATGTTTGGATTCGTTAAAATGACATTGGTCAAATGTCTAATTATGTCTGTTTAATACTAAAGCCGACAAAACTAATATAAATCTTATGGATTCCCTAAGAAAAAAAAAAGGAAATATAAATCATATGGATGAGATAAATCTTAAAACTCTGAAAAATTTTTCATAAACAGAATCTTCGCCTGCAAATAGGCATTAGCA